AAAAAAATCTAAAAATACGTGCTTCTTCCTTGGTTCTGGATCAACACAATGAGCGCAATTGCAGCAGATTTCGATAAATTTTGATGAAAATATGCTCCGTAAAAAATGTGGTAAACTTCTTTCCGGAACGGAGGAAGTATCTATTGTCATTTACATCAATTGATTGACCATAATGAATATTTTCAGTCTCAATTTGATCTGCTGACTTAATAATAACATTTTTAGATTGTAACTCGCCCCAAGCCGTACTAAACATCTTTTTAACTAGTTCATTGGATGGATATTTAGTCTTTAATGCAACTAAAGCATGATACCATTTGTTAAAGACTTTGGAGCTCTCGATAAGTTTAGTCTTATCCTTGTACTTCAAGCCCTTATTTGACAAAAATGTTTATTGAACATTACCACCATGGTGCTTATTATAAATATTCATAACAAAATTTAAAGTTGTGTGTGCGTAAATGGTTATCTTTGCTGTAGCTAAATAACTTATTGAATCGTTCATCATTAGATACTACATGCACATGATAAATGCCGTAACTGAAACCACACTTAGGAATTTTGAAAATGTTGCATTCTTCTCCTTGTGTGTTTGGGAACGTACATGATGGACTATTTAGTATATTCGGATAAGATTGTTTCTTATCATACGTATGAACATTATCATATACACCATCTTTATAGTAGACTAAGCCGCCATAATTACATTTATCAAAATAATTATCTTCAAACAATTCAATTGTATCAAATTTTGAGAAATCATGCATCAATTTATGTATCGAATAATATTATTACTGTGCGCTCTATAGTAAGTTTTTCCATTTTTACGAAGCTTATTGCAAAAGTAATCGAAATTAGATACATCTAGGATTTCATTTCTCCAATTAATCAAGTCTTCACTGAATTTTAGTAATCCATCACTATCTGGCTCACATCCTTTTACCAATTCAAACTGGTTAATCTTATATTCAAAAATCAACACAGTTGTAAATTCTTTAGTAGCATAATTAAACGTATTAAAAGTATTATTGAAATTTTGGAACCAAGTAATGAAATTCGGGAAATCCATTTGGTTCAATATATTATATATATTTAAACTTAAACTTGTGATACGACAAATATCCGACAAATACGTAACACCAATTGGCCTACTTTCCATAATTTGCACTTCCATTGGACAACGGACAAAGCAGAGCATCTGATTGGCCGACCTATGTGCGGATAGCCAGCTTAAATGCAAAAATAAAA